ATTCTTTCCAATTAACTAGCAATCGAAATTAATAATGATTTGAATTTTGTGTTTGTGATTTTATTGATTGCTTCTTTATATATTCACCAACTGTTCACGTTATGTAACTTTCATAAAAGTATAAATAATTTGCTTAGTTGGTTTCTCTGTGTTGCCACAAAAATATCCAAGTAAAAAATAATTTCTTTACCAGAGTAAAACTTTAGAGTATTCTGGATGAATTAAGAGGCAAAACGTATGGTAAAACTCAGTCCGAATTTTGTGAAATTTAATATTAAGAGCTATTAACTTTGATGATTTTCATAGACTACATGAAATACAAAGCTTGAAAAAATATGCGAAAACAACAAAAATGTTCACAATAACCTGAAAGAAAAACTTTTCTTATAACATCCAAATAAGCGTGAGGAAACTGGAAAGCCTGAAAACATTTTCAAACTCAAGTTGTTACGCAATCGCTAGAGGAATAATACCAAAATGCACGAACTCCGATTATATTTTTGTTCCTTTTACTCTAACATAAAACACTGTTACATTTGATGAAAGAGAAGAAAAAGCTAGTAATACGCATTTCATAAGAGCTCCCTCTCACACACATATCTGATTATGTGTTGATTATCTGATTATGTAAACAACAATGGAGCTAGATTCTGTTTATATATATATACACACATGAGCAGTCGGCCATTGAAATGAAAATAAAAATCATGTTATTTATTATGGAATGAGGAGTAAATTTCATTTCCAACAAAACATTTTTTTTTATTTACTCTTTCAGTATTTCATTTCATTTGCAAGCAAGAAAATGGAATTTGTTTCATACCATTGTATCTACCCTGTGTGTAATTTATACGATAGTTTTATTGACTTGTTATTCAATGAGTATTTTTGTTCGAATTCTTTCGCTTTTTTCACCGAAGTTTTGGGGACATTAACGGTTTTATGTGCGTTCTCTTGGGTCAAATTGTACGTTTTCAGTGGTATATTTTTAATTTTTGTTCTTTTCCCAACATAAAACTTGACACCTTTTTTTTCGGTATACCCCTATTTTTTTTTCTGGATTTGATTTTTAATAGGGTCATAAATTTTATTGCAAGCACTATTATCGTACGTTAACTAAGTTTATTGGAATGGTCAAAGTAACTTAATTTCATTAATTTGCTATCAAGTTAAATTTCTTTTTTTAATTATCAAGCAACATTTCGTGAAGTCAGGTATTGAAACATATATAGTTTATTCAATTAAATATAAGAAATGTTGCGAAATTCGGAAATAGAATTGCTCATATTTCTTTAATATGCTTAATTTTGTTTTATTCATGTTGTAAGGATTATGTTAATTTTATTAACAATTAAATTTTAAGTTAAAGTTCCTTTCCTGTCAAATTCTTAACTTTAACTTACTAATTTCGGGCCAGAACGTATTTTGGAATTTGCTGATATTTAATGGAGGAGGAGCGGTTATTTAAACCACTAAGTTACTTACTGTGGGAGAGAGAATCAGATTTTCTGAATTAACGCTCGTCTGCCTTTTTTTTGGCCGCTCTCTCTCAAGCTGTTTTTACGCTCGGCCGTACTCAGGCCTTTGCTAAGCTTCGAGTAAAATATTAAGGGCCAACCTATTGAACTTGAGATCTTGGCTATACTTTATGAATTTAAAATTTTTAGTTTAATATTCTTAGTCTTTTAAGTTCAATTTCAAAGTGCGGGCTTACTTGTAAACTCCCAGGCGAGTTTTGTTAAAATCGAATCGGAAAAAGGTTACTCTTCTCTCTTTTGTTCTTGTCATCGACCTCTGCGATTATTGCTTTCAGTTTAGATTCCTCCCTCCAACATTAACTTAGAATTCCAAAGTGAGGTACTCTACAATGTTAACGTTTATTTCATGTTAAATTTGTGTCCTTCAGATTTTCAAAGGAAAGTCAGATTGTTATCTCTTTAATAGGAGACTTTAATTCGTATCAATGAAGAATTTTTGTTAAAAGTATAATTTTAAAGTTTTTATCTAAATATATATTTTTAGAAAACCAAGTGTAGATACCGGCCAAAATGAAATATGTTTTCTTCATTTTTAAATGATAAAATTCATATGTAATTTGCAAAGCTCAATCTTTATATTAAAAGAAGCCGAATGTGTTTTATTAAGCAGAACCTATACAGTAAGAAAAACCATTATCCATCTACTGGAAAGCTCATTTGCTGGCTTCTTGCTTATGACCTTAGATAGCAAAATAACAAGATATTAATGCTACAACGTTGTCTCTTGACAAGTAAGGAAATGCACATGCAAATGCTTTTTGATGCAGAACTGCTGGAACTTTCAAGCACAGAAAACGAAGAATGGTGTATTGAAATGTGCGAAAAATTCTATTAGAATTGCAAGACAGTAATTTAGTTTTTTACCATTCTTGCGATTCAGTGTTTTAGCTTTGAAAAGTTTTGCAAACATATGTGCTTAATTAATAAGGGGGAGGGGGAATATTTTCAAAATTTAAAATATTTAAAGTTTTATAGATTATGAAATAAGCATATTAATACAAATTTCTTTTGCCCCTTTCATTTTTATGAAAGTTTACTTCGTTTACAGATGTCACCTTATACCACTGCTTTTATTTAGTGTGTTTTCCCATTAAAAACAACACTACCTTATTTTATCATTCTTTTTCTCAATTGTTTTCGCAAAGGCTTCACAGAATATGTTTTTTACCTTAGAATTACTTGCCTTTGAAGCACTGGGTAGTATATGGAGTAAATTAATGTTAAGAAATTCTTTGAGCTGGAAATGCGAATCCTCATGTTAAAAGTGAAATACGAAGAAATTCGGCACACATCCAAAACTGTATCGGTCAGCAGCTTTGTATATTAATGAAAATGCTGTGTGAAAATACTCTGCTGTATTTTCATACAGCAGCTGTCTCCTGTATCTCTCAGCTGATGATACTTTGCAGGATACATGAAGAGATTTTAATGCTCCAGTGTTGACGCAGATGATTTCGAAGGACTAAGGTAGGTTATGTGGTTACAGTGGGATTACTCTTTGCCAATTCTGCCATTAACACTATATCACCGTTGTGAATGCTTACACTGGTATGCCGCAATGCTCATGATTACCTTATGATAGGAGACAATATAGCAGCTCGGGTTGGTTAATCTGGGGTTATTAAATATCATCCAACTAATCGCTTTGCAGTTATGGTTTGGGGTGAAATAAAATACTCATCTCCCTCATGCACAATGGTGCAATGAAGGCACATGGATATGTTAATGTGTTAATGAAATCCTGCAACCTTCTACACTACGGTATCTTTTGGAAATACCAAACTCTACTTGCCATAAGGACCACTCTTGGTCATATTCATAAAACATTAGTAAGTATCAGTATCAAAATGTTCAGTAGTTTTGCAGAAGACATTCGAAGAGAAATTGCCTCGTGATTAAGTTGCGTATGCAGAAAACCTCTCATGCTGGTAACATTCTGATATTTGGAATCGGCGTCTGGAACAAAAACTAGCAGTGTTTCTCTGTTTTAATCCTTTAGCCGCTCTTTCTATGAATAAAACTTCAAAAGGTTCGCAGAAAATGCTTGCAGAACCGCTTGAAATTTAAAAACAATTATTTAAGATTCAAATTTAGAATATTCATGAGAATACGCACCTTTTTTTCCAGCACTTGTGACATTTCCGGAAGCATTGGTAATATGCATCCTTGAGGGCCTTTCTTATACTGGACTTCACGCCATTTAGAGTAGTTTGAATTGACTGAAAATGAGATTGATACAGCGGGGTTAGAGGACAAGAAATATGGAAACGCAAAACGTAAATAAAGCAAACGTAAAAATTCTTCGCTCAAACGCTCTTCTTTCAAAATGCAACTTCGTACCAAATACTGGAAAGATACTTTACCTCTGTTTGCATTACAGTACAAACTACACTATCATGGATGGTTTTAATTCATATATTTCTCATATATAAAAATTAAGCTAATGAGTGCAATTTCAGAACTAGATTCTATCGCGGCACGTTTCTTACTTGTAACGCGAATTTTCAAAGAACATCTTGAACAGAGGATTATATTCAGTAACGAGCAAGTCTAGCTGTAGCTTGAAGGCGTTTTAACTTAATGAAAATCGCAAAATATAATTAAGATAACGCAAATTGTAATTAAAGCCTAGGAAAACATGAATTGTAATTAAAGATTTGTAAGACATTTTCTCCCTCTTTATCTCATGCTTTCATGGTGCAGTTAGAAAGCACGTCAGGCTACCAATCGAAAGATTCAGAGTTCGAATTCCGGCCGAGAGTATAGCCCAATTGTCACGTCTCCTGCTTCGAAAACCGTCTACAAATTAAAGTGAAGTATAACTGAATTATGACAAGAGCCTAAGAAAACAGCTTTTTAATTTGTTATTCCGATGCATGTAAGTACCTAAACTTTCGATTTATTATTGCTATATCATTACCCAAACCTGAAAATGCTAGGAAATTCGAAAACACCTAAATATAATAAACACGGAAAAAAATACAAATCAGCGTCATATCAAATTGACCAAATATTATTTATAATAAATTCGAAATACAATGAGGATATTAAATAACAAAATATTTAGTAAGACGATCTTGTAGGAATTTAGGCAGCTAAGGAATTAATATTTACAATTTCTTCTTTGTTCCGAATAGAATTGCGTTTTTTGAATGTGGAACTTAACAGAGCTTTAATTATGCACATATTTTGCAGCTGTAAATAATTACTGGCTTATAATCGAAAAGACTTCAAATGTGTATGTTGGATACTAATTAATTTAAACGAATTTTTGAAGCATACGAAACACATCATCAAAGTATTTAATGATGCAAATTAAATTAAGCATTTTTCATAATGAATTTTACTCTTCTTAAAATTTGATTAGATAATAATATGTTTGTATGAGCATACCATTTGAGAGAAAAGTTTTTTTAAAACATTTCATGAGTTTTCTGCAGATTTTAAATTTCTTTCTTATAGTAATAGCTCTCTAGGAAAGTTTCTTCCAAGCTTTTAGCATTTATGGTTGAGCGTTAGAAAGGACTTCTCATCTTCATCTGGAAACTTAAAAGCAAGTGGAAACGCAAGTTTAATTCAGGAATTAAACTGAAGAATATTTCTCAAGAAACAAAGTAAGTATATACATGACTGTGTTAAAAATCTCGTGCAAGAGGGAAAATGTGAAGATTTACTCAGAGATAAAAGTGCAAGAGATATTTCCAGAGACTAAAAGCTTTTCAAGCAAATATTTCACGCAGAGGCTTATGTTTATTTAGTAACTGTATAATTCATTTTAGTGTCAGTGCTGGCAGTTTAACTTTTGGGGTTATAATATTTCTTAAACTGATGTATCTCATATCTGCTTCTCTTCTAGTCGATGCCTTCTAGCAGAAGGCATAATAAACTACTTTTATTCTAAGATTATTTGTTAAATTCTAGTGAATGAATAACTGAAGTTGTTAGTTGCAGTTAACTGGTTATGACAAGCCAAAATGTGCTTCGATTATTTATCTAGAATATGAGATATCTACGAAGACAACTTTTAGGGTTATTTAGACTTTTAGGGCTTTGTTGCTGTTTACTAAATACCACAAAGAATGCGAGAGCTATTTGCCTTCTCGTACACTCGTGTTAGAGAGAAAAAAATATTTTCGTAGATCACTTTCTAAGGCAATTTGATTCGTATTCACGGCTTCAGGAAGGTTGCCTTTTGTAAGATTTTTTTAAGGGAAAATGACTCATATTCATTGCTAAATGCAAAGAAAAATCATCCTGATTGTCCAGCATCAAATCCAGGACGGGACACTCGACCACTGGCGGACACTAGAGTACATGGAAACTGGTTGCACTATTGAAAATAACACTATTGATATTGTCTTTTTTAGAAAAACTATGGAACGAAGACTCATAGTGTTCCGGAATTTGTCGAAAATGTTTAATGAAGAAGCGAACGATGGACTCTGGAGATAAATGTCAATGAAGTATCTGTGTGCTTTTGCGATTAATAATTCATTCCTTTTACATAAAGTAAGATTATATCATTGCTTTTCGTGTTTTGAATAGTTAATGAACACTCATGTGATTTTGTATAATTTAGATCTTTCTTTCCTCCGAAATTTGCCTAAAAAAGCTTTGTAAACGCTTTTTTCATCGAAAATGGCAGTTTTCGTAATGAACTATCATTTTTAAATATGAAAAGCTGTTTTGAAATGATAGTTTTTAAAGATAGAGCAATTAGGAGTACATTATTAAGACTAATTATACTGCGGACTAAAGCAAAGAAGGTGAATACAGTAGGTGCCAAAGTTATTTGCTTATAATGTTTTTCTTTTACATCATGGGTATTTAAGACATAAGTATTTATAAGTTTAATACATAAGTATTAAATAAATAAGTATACATAAGTTTAATACATAAGTATTTCTTAAATACATAAGTATTATTTAAGATCCCGATCTGCTATATCTGTCATATTATGCAAGTTAAATAATTCAAGTACGAGCAATCTAAAATTTTGAAAATATACAGAATTACCGATTGAAACGTTTTAATCGAGATCGAAATCTTTTAAGGCGTATAATGTATTTGCTCTTTTATGACTAATCGCAAAAATACTGAATGATGGATTCTGACAGATCTGAAACCTAGCACCACTTAATCAAGCTGAACCAATTAATTTCAATATAACCTAGAGGAAATGGATAATGGAACTGAGAAAATTTGCATCTGGAGAGTAATGCTTTATCAACATCGTAAAAGTCCTGTTTGAAGGCCAATGTTTCAACAAAGCTTTTGGAAATGTTGATTTGAAATGTTAAACACTTGATTAGTCAAAGTATTTTTAGTCATTTCATGTGAAAAACAGGGACTATTTTACTTCATGATTATGCAGGAGGAAAATGTTTTAGCTCTGCTCTTGAATATACCTTAAACTGTGTCAATGGTGATGAGATTAAGCGATCATGCATGACGGGGAGGATGTAGCTCATTTTCATGTTCTTCAAACCAAACCTGGCACCAGTTGTGCGCTGGGAACAGATCCATTGCATCTTGATAGGCGGAAAGTACTCACGAAGTTCGAACAACTGAATGAATTGGGCTCATCGGTAATGCATGACATTTATGTGACCTTCAAGAACGATCAGTGAAATCAGCCTTCCACAATCTTGGCCTACAGCATCATCAGTCCATCCCTACGTTTCACGCTGAATATTAGATAATGCTGATGTGTGTCTCTACAGGAATTCTCTAACTCATAAGCTCATCCAGAATTGGGGAAGATGATGGAGATGACATAAGGTGTTTTCTCACTCCTTTCTGCATGCCTTCGTGATGTAACAGTAGCACATTCGGCGCGTATTCAAGAGGTCCAGGTTCGAGTACCGGCGAGGGCGTTGCTCATTTTTCAAGCCTCCTGCTTCATAAAATAACCTAATGACTCTACGATGCGTCTCTTGGCAAAGCACATTTTTCATCGTGTACTGTCCAAGTTTTGTTGACTCATACTTTTGAAAGCACGCTTTTGCATGGGCGCTGGTTATCAATGGCTTAGCTATAACCTTATCATCCCTGAATGTTAAAGATAGGAAGCTCTTGACAAGTACGTTTGTAGAAATGCATGCATTCAGGAGAACATTAACTTTTGCCATAATATGAACCATCGTTATTTTATATCTTTTTGTGGCAGTATTCTATAATTCTTTCAGTTGATTTTCTGTTCCATTGTCAATTCCTCCGTTTAAAATAATTCTCTTTTCCTAAGAGCAATAGTACAAGATCTCAGTTCGTATAATATGAGCCTCATTCTCGATACATCATACTGTTTTTTGTTGATCCGTACTTAGGTACTTACTATTTATCTGTACTTAATGCTGATAGCCACTCTTGTCTTCTTGACAGACACAGCCTAACGAGGACCGGCAATTTGGCCTCATTGGAAATCCGATATATCTCCATTTATATCCTATAGCTGTCTTGTTGTTGTGACGTAGCTCACTTATTTGACAGTAACATCAGAATAAGTCCTCGAATTTTATCATGACTAGTAACGTTGGATTGCGTCTATCGTTGACATGGGCCTTGCTCACCTTATAGGTGATAATACAACTTTTCCCAGTTACATTGTAATTTTTTAGAACTTTTCCCCGAGGGACGGGTACGAAGATCTACCTCCAAACTATTCGAAAGGATTTTAAGTGTCCCCATCTCCATGCCACAAAGACGCTATTCAAACATCCAAGAGCTTAACGACACCAAGCAATGCTAACCACTATACCAGTTAGGGCGTTTCCGTGTAATTCTTAATGTTTGAAGCCAGCATCTTTAATACCGTTGAAAGTTCAAACTTCATACTCTGCTGCTGATAGTAAAATTTGAAATTATTCTGGGTTCCTTACTTGGAAATGCATATATGTTGACTTGAAATTTAGGATCGCCCTTTAGCCAGTACTTCAATTTTGTCGTCTAGCCAGTACATGATAACTAAAGATAAAGATAGACGGTTTTTAAAATTTTTCTAGTACTCTAAAGAGGAAGGCATGCGATTGTCTGTGGGAAAAGAATATAGATTTTTCTTTATACGTAACACTTATTGCTATATGAGCAAAGAAGTAGGAAACAAAATTCTTGCTTGAAATTAAGAAGTAGGCTACTTGCGGGATTAAAGGCAGTATAACCTGTACAGACAGTTACAAAGTTTTAACTGACTGAAACTTTCGAAATATCGTTACGCAAAGGCGAAATTTCAATGGCCAGTGACTCACGCATATTATGAAATATTTGCGAATCAAACGGTATATATATTTACCACTTCCATATTCTGGAAAATATTTTTAAATATGTTATTTAGCACTGTTGAGGACGCGTGAAATGGCAATTGTTATGGAAGATAACAAGAAGAAACTCTTGCTCTTTTTTAAAACATGCTAAAAAAACCTATTCACATTTGCAAAAATATATTATTGGGTACGTGCAAAAGTTTTACTCTTCTGTGATATGTCGCTAAGGATAATTTTTTTGACATAATAAACAGCGCTCAAACAGCTTTAATCGAAGGTTATTTTACCCGAAAAACACTAGAGCAGTAACAGGCAATGTCTGTGAACGTAATTAAAGACAGAGTGTTGTGCCAATCAAATGGAGAACAATAAGTAGCACATTAGACATTGTTTGTTGCTTGAGTTCGATGCAGTCAATACTGCGGCCTTGGTCTGCCACAACATTAAGCAAACGCATGATGAAGATTCAATGGACGAAAGCACATGTTGTCCCTGGCTTCGAAAATTTACGAACGGCAGCAGGAGCAGTCAGGATTAGTCTCGTTATCGGCGTATATCAGCGTTTCTCAAAGGGAATTTGGACCAAGACATAATAATCAGTCGAAAACCAGCTGTAAAGGAATTAGCAGAAACCTTCCAGTGAAACAGAGCATGTGGAACGTGGTAAACATGGATCCAGTGAAACGTGGAAAGAAGGCTTGTAGCGCTGGGTTATAACACAATTTTCGATCTTTGAGTTCCACATCAAATGAATACTACTCATTGACAGAGGCGAGTCACTGCATGTGTATTCTTGATTTCCCGATGCAAAAATGACTACTTCTTAGCACGGTTTCTCACAGAAAATGAGAAATGGGTTATGTACCACAGCATGAAGCGTCATAGGACCGTGTGGTTGTGTTTCTGAACTGCCTCTATCGATGTCCAAACAAGAATTTCAACCCCAAGAAGGTGCTGTTGAGTGCGCGGTCGGATGTGAAAGGAAGAATTCATTGAGAGATTCGGAAACCTAATCAAACCATTAATGTAACCTTCGGTTGTCAATAGCTTTACTACATACTGCAAGAATTATTGAGGTCGAAGCGGCTAGGTTTTGGCAATTGCCGAGGGGTTATCATCCAATCATATATACTGCTGCGATGACACGTCAGATACTAGATTTCGGTTGAGAGGTTGTACCCCACCCACCCTATTGTCTTGACTTGGTCTTTTAAGACTTCCATACTTTAAGCGCTTGGCAAATCTCCTTCACTGAGGAGACGTTTGATGATGTGGAGAATGAGAAAATTGTCTTGTATGAGTTTTTCAACTCCGGATTTCAGAAGTTTCATTGGCGTGGATTTCTTCTTACAGAAAAATGGGAAAAGATCATTGACTATGATGGTAATTATACACAGTCCTAGGTAAGTTTCAGTTTATGTTGTTCTTATTTACATATGCTCAACAAAATAGGTAGAACTTTTGCACATACCCAATAATTACTAAGGACGAAGAGATAACCGAATAAAGAGAATAACAGAAGAGAGCAAACTGAATGAGATAATTT